AGGTCATGTATTTTAATTTATGTAATATAATATGGAAGAAAGGTGCAGTTTATGTTCTGTGCCTGATATTTCTGTTGAGGAGGCCCTTTTTTTCCTAGTGTGATTGTTCTGTTTGCAATACTAAACCTTTAGTTTCGTGCACTAAAATATTTTTTTTTAATTACAACTAAAGCCATGCTGACATAATATTTTTAGTAGTGAATTGTTTATTAATAACATAAGTAAGTGTGGCCTTGCTTCCAAACTAATTTCCTTCATTAAAAATATACCGAAGGCCCATTACGTTATGACTGTCTTGTTAATTCCTTTGGCCCTCGAAACTGCGAGCACCTGGTATGGCATTGACTCCAAGGTGCTGATAGGTAGTCTGAGGTATCTGGTACCAAGCGATCACCAACTGGTTCTGCAATTTGCTCACATAAGTGAGAGGGTAGTGTGGCAGCATGAATTTTGTATTTCCAGGTGGGACCACTAATGCTCTATTGGATTAACGTCAGCTGAATTTGAAGTCTAAGATATGACTTGAAAGTCACTGGAATATACCTCGAATCACTCCTTGACAATTCGACCCTTATGACAGGGTGCATTATCGTGTTGGTTTTTGGCTTTCCAGGTGGGGCTACAAAAGCTGTATTTGATTAATGTTAGGTGAATTTGAAGGCTAAGGCATGATTTGAAAGTCACTGGAATGTTGTGCATTATCCTGTTGGTATACACCATACCCCACTAGAAATACTGTTGTCATGAATGGGTGAACCTGGTCTGCAACAATGTTCACATAGCATACAGGCATCAGGGATTGTTCTGTGTGTCCTAATGTGCTGCATGAAAGCATTGCCCACACCATAATACCTCTGCTACTGGCTTGTCTCCGTCCAAGTGTGCATCTGGAAGCCAGAGTTTCATTTTGGAATCATTGCATATTAGCACTTGCCCGTCAAAATGATGAACCAGAAAACATGATTTGTTGGACCATGCAACTTTCTTCCATACTTCTAATGGCCAATGCCAATGTTTCTTGGCCCATTGCAGATGTAGCTGGTGATGGCATGCCATCAGTGTAGGGACAGGCTTCGGCCTCCAACTGCGTAGGCCCATACACAGCAATGTACGCTGCACAGTGTATTGAGAAATACTCTCTGGGTTGCCACTGTTGTAGCTGGTGATGATTTTGGCTGTTGTAACTCTTCGGTCACACTGAACAATGCATAGCAATCTCTGCTCTCCTCTGGAATGAATGCACCTTGACGACACACCGCTGGCTGGCAACTTGTCGTTTTACTATCCATACACCACTTTCAGTATGTGCTCACAACAACAGCAGGTGAACAGCCCACTAAACGTGCCATTTCTGATATTTATGTTTCCCAATCGCAGAGCCGTAACGATTTGTCCTTTTTTGAAGTCTGATAAATTGGCTAATATGTCGCTAATTGTGCATGTTTGGAAAGACAATGCAAAGCTGCTTTACTCCAACATCAGCTGAGCATGTGCAATGGTTTTGTTCCAGGGTGAGCCCATTTTTATAGATGGAGGGGGGTCATAATGCAATGGCTCTTCGGTGTATATAATGTGTAAAACTGCTTATTGTACAAATTTTCTTCTCCTCTAATATTAGCCTTTACAGCTGCATGCTAGTCTGGTTTATTGCTGCATTTTCTTTACCTATATAACAATCTCAGAAAAGTTCATCCCTTTTTAGTAGTCATATCACTTGCTTCTAATGTTTGTTCCTATATTTTTAGAAATAAGGTTTATGCTTTATTACAATAATGTATTTTTAAATGCTTTTAAGAAATTCATTGTTTCGAAAAAGGTGAAATGAAGTTGAGGCGTAAATGCTATTAATGGTCTTAGATTAAAATTTTCTGTAATATTATGTAGCATTAATATAAATTTGAAGTTTTTATTACAGAAAATTATTTTGTAAATTTTTTTAAAAATAATCTCTGGCTTGCACAGTCTAAAGATAATTATATTTCTGTGAAACACGTATTGAAATAAAATATTTCCCTCCATTAAATACCACATGATTCTATTTTTTTAAACATATTTCCTATGGCTTCTTTTCTGTTGATAATTGTAACCACTTGCACAACCACATTTTTCCATTCCAGATTTTTACCTTGTATGTTTTATGAAATTTGCTACAAAAAAGGAAAATAATGCAGATAAAACTGTTATGTTTTCCGAATGCTGGAATGAAACTGCTAGACACAAACACTTCCCTGTTTCTGATCATTCCATTGGTCCGGATATTGTATGTTATAAAAGCAAATATGAAAAAATGATAGATACATTTGTTGCATCTTAAATGGTTAAGTAAAATATGCAAAACTAAACTAAAAGCAATGATGATTGCTGTTCTTCCTCTAAAACATAAATAATATGCAATAGAATTCGGATATAATCCGTCCTCATTTTTGAATGTAAACAAACAAAATTTTGATTTTTCAGAAAATTAAACATGACATTTAACAGCATTTTCTTATATATACGTATAAACAATGAATTTATAATATGTTTTGACTGAAGAAGCGGATTTATGTTGAATTTATGTAGGATTTTCTTTCAACCACATGAGGACTCTTTTAAAATATTAAACACATGTTGTGAATCTGCAAATTTATTGCTTTGGATAAATCTCTACTTTAGGTCTACTGTCTGGCATTGAATTTTGTTTGTTTCTTGGCATGTTTCATGCACCAAGAATGTATCCATATCCAAAATTGTAGGTGTAGGGTACCAATTTAAGTATTATTCGTATATTATAGCTAGTTTGTGTATATTCTACTTAATGAGCAAATATGTTACATTAACAATGAATAATGAGTGTATTCTTGAAATAGCAATTAGATTATTTTTTTTTTTCGGTGAAAAGTAGGAAATTGTAAAAAAGTGCAAGGCGCATTAAAATAACTTTTAAATAATTTTGTTGTAAGATATGATTATTTTATATAATCCATGCCTTTTTTTTATGAAATTTCTTCGTTTCCTTGCTTCATCTCTCCACTACGTTTTTCTTGTGAATGTAATTATATTTTGAAAATATAATTGCACATTAATTAAATCCTGATTTAAATTATTCTTAAGATATTAATATTGTTTAGTCAGTTATTTATGAGCAGACAATGCAGATTTAATGTAATTTGGAAAGACTTGATCTGTGAATTGTGAAATTCATAAATATGCACAGTCATTGGTGCCAAGGTGTGCAGATTTCTAAGATTCTGCTGTGCTATGTGCATTGAATTTTCTGATAATAGAATCATTTACCTTTAAGCCGTTGTAATCAGATATATTTTGAATTGACATATCTTTCACCTACAAAGTGTTATCTTATTTTTCAGGTATCATTGCTCTGAACTTATAAATGTGTATTTCTAACCATAATATATCTTTGTTTTTAATCTTTTAAATCTTCTACCTCATACTATGAGGAAAAGAAGATGATGAACTGATTACCTGTATGCATTTTGTGAAAACATATATATCAAAATTGATTAATTTAATATTTAACAGGCCCTCAAACAAAGTTATTAATATTTTTTAATGAAATGTCTTATTAACATTATTGGCGTAATTTTTATACTATGTGTATTTTGTATTTGTTCTAAAATTTACGGGATAATAGGGAGTGTTTTAAATTTTTCCACTATATCTTTTAACTCCTTCAGAATAATGATATGAAAACATGCTAGCATATAAGTACAAATCCTTTCCTAGTGTTTTCCTATTTTCCTATTATATTAGCACCTTTTGCTGTAAATGTAGATTTTTAGCACCTTGAAGATAAGGAAGCACTCTTTTTCTGTAGTTCAGCATGCAGGTACTCAAATGAAATGTTATTAACATAATACTAATTTAAGACATAAATTCATTTTTTTATTTTTAATTATCAGAAGTATTTCGTTCATCATTTCTTAATCGTGATTTTTGTATTTTAGTTTTGGTTTAAATTAACCAAAATTTCAAAATATCTCATTTTGAGTTAATAGGAATTCAGTTTCAGTGCCCAGTCTTTATGTGTGATTTTTAGTTAAACATAAAATTATTTTTTATAGAGTGAAGCCAAAATCTGCAATATTTAAGCTAAATGGAGGTTAACATTAAATCTCATGATATGAGTGTAATAAACTGCATGTTTTAAAAGAACAAAGATTCTCTGACTTTCTGAATGCTCAGTTGTCCATTTATTTCAAAAGTTGTCTGAAAAAAAAAAAAAAAAAAAAATTAGTGATAGAAACGGTTAAAGAAACTTGCAGTTTCTGTTCCCCTAGTGCTTGCTAATTTAATTCTTTGATCCCATATAAGACTTCTCATAATCACTTTTTCTATATTCTGCTATCCTGTCCTGCAACAGCATTATTCCAGACTTTTGTAATCAATTTGCTTTAGTCTAACTGTTTTGATAAAAAAAAAAAAAAAAAAAAAAGCTGTGATCCATTGTGTGGCTACCTTTAATTGTGTCATCTAAATACAAAAGAATTGTGGTTTTGTTTAAGAGAAGTTAATCTTTTCCCATTATTTTCATAAAGTGTGTACTAGCTGCTAAATATAATGTGGGAAAATTATGTATTCTGTATGGATGTTGCATTTCTTTTCCTCTTTGTTTCATTGTAAATATAATTCAATTTTGAAATAAAATGCTTATTTCTGGGAAATAAATTTCTGTTTAGTTCAAAGTGTGTAGTGTTTGTCAATGAATGGTTTACTTCAAATTGTCATTTCCATTAGCATAAAATTTAAACAAACCCATCTCATTTAGAAGTATTGGATTGATGAACTAGTTACTTGGATTAGTTATTTATTATGTATGAAAATCAGTCATCTAAACAAGCTTATCTCCATTCAGTTTGTATAATCAAGACTGTACTTTATTTTAAACTGCTCATTTGCTAAAGCTTAATAAATTACATTCATTCAATGCTTTGCTTTGTGTTTTATTGAATTATTTTTGTGTGAAAAATAATCTATTACACATAATGTTGTCCATATAGGAACAACAGAAAGGGTGTGTCTTATTACCGGGAGTGTCGACGGTATTGTACGGATCCATGAATTCATTATGGAAAAAGTTAAAGAAAAACCTGATCCAAATGCAAAAATGGCCATTGATTTTGATCACAAGCAGCCAGCAGAAAGAGAGAAGCAAGTAAGTGCATACATTATTATGTATTGAATATATTCCAGCGAACATTTCTGTAATCATTTTGATAGTTTGAAAAAGTAAATTGGAAGCATTTAACGTATGAGCTAATGATTTAAAAGGGCCACTTCAGAGCCATTATTAAGTTCTTGCATACCATTAGTGTGCTTTACATTTTAATTTTGTTATCTGTAGGTCGAAAGAAAGTTTTTAAAAATTTATTATAGAAGGTAAGAGAATTAAATCTTTTGTAAAACAGAGTTAGAAATGTTATAAAATCTCATGACTGAATATAACTGGTTTACCTTTCTGAGGATTGCTGTACCTGTTCAGTAAATATGTCATCTGGGTCAACGAGGTTGTAACATTGTTTTCTGCTGCATTGAAATTTACATTTAATCTTATCAATATGCCGTTCATCTTCTGTTTAACTTTATAATCTTAATTTTAAAACACTTTAATTTTTCAAAGACTAAAGGACTTCGAAAGCCCTTAAAGCATGCCACACAGCTCTATGATCCTTTACAGCAGCGTGACAATGGCAGTCTCCTAACAACTTCTTTGGTCTTCAAAATAATTGGAAATCACTGTTTTATCAAATAATGATTCTGTGCAAAATAGAGCAAGACATTTTCTTAAACAAATTTGAGAGTGATGATGATTAAATATAACTCGGTGTTCAGTGCCCGATAAACTGATTTTCAGGGAGATGTGGCCCTTTATCAGGGGGATTTATATTTGGATGATAAACTGTTTATCATGCATGCGAAAATGAATAATGTCTGGCATCTGATAAATTATTAACACTTGTGCCAAATAATAGAAAATATCTTAATTGTACAGAACTTCTGACATACGCACAATTTTTATACTTATCTGCGATTTGTAACTGGAATAGCAGTTTGTAGACACGTAAGTATCTCCTTGTGTAATCCTAACAGCTATTACCAGCACTTCCTCCATCTGCTTGCTGATCAGACGTAGAGAATTTATTGTGCCATTCATGTAGTATCATTTAAATTCTTTGTTGGCTTCCAATATTTAGGGTAATAGCCAGTCAAAATGTCCATGTGATTTCTTATCTTTTTAGTCTTCTATTGTGGAAATATTGAGCTTTGGAGCTTTCTGCTCTCAAATCATGAATCTGGGGGCTCTTAAGTGTATCACTTTACTCCATTTAAGATGCTGATTGCTAACGATATTTAGCTTACTTATGTTTGTTTTAATTGAATTGTTTTATATTGTAATAAAATGGAATACGTAAATTATACAAAAATTTGTATTTATTCAAAAAAGTGGTACACAGATAAAATATCTCATGTATATTATATTTCTATAACTCAATGCTGTTATTTATTTACATTCTTCATTGTTCTTTTTAATATGAAATAAACCCATTTTGTATGTAAGTCTTAGAATACACTTTATTGGCTATAAAAAAATGGTATTCAAGGTTATTTTCTTTATTGAGACACTTTGTCCATGATGCTTTTTTGCTGTTATAATTGCAGAAATGTTGTGTTTTAAGTATATTAATGCATTTATTTCATGATGGTCAGTAGCAGTATCAGTGTTACTGTGTTCAAAATAGCATTTATACAGTTTTTTCATCTTAAACCATCCACTTAGCATTGTAAAATATCCTTATTATTTCAGGAACAGTCTATAATTCTTGTTAGTTTTCCAAAATTGTATTTTCTACAAACCTTATTAGTGGTTTTAATTTGAATTAACAATATAGTTTTCTTTATTTTTAGGCTAAGTATTTTTGTCTTTCTTTGTGGCATTTATTGCATATATGTGCAATTATATCAGATCAAGTTATTGGAAGACTTGGCAAATTAACCTGGAATATTTGGAAATTCTAATGTCATATTTTTCTTTCTTAATCATACATGAAAATTATACGTGATCACCTGAATTGCTACATTTTGGGCTATATTGTGGCTTACTTTTTTGCTTATTATATAAGCATGTTTATATGCTGGTGATTGGTAAGTCTGTCATGAGTTTAATTTAGGTGGTAAAGGCTAATTTAAAAAATGTTTTCATGATTTGGCTCATGCATAAGAAAGCAAGTTTTAGAATGTCTTCTGCTTTAGGCAACCATCATTGAGAAAAAAGCTGTAAGCTATTTCAAAATGTAATTACTTGCAAAAATGCTTTTCTTTCTTTTTGGGGGGGGGATTGATAAGTATTAAATAAAAGAGTATCGATTTAATTCGTAGTTTTTCCCATTGGTTTTATAAGCACTTTCTTATACTGCATTATGTAAGCACTGCTTTGTTCATTTTGCAATAATTTATTTTGAGTGTTAAATTTGTGTGATGATAAAATATGATGGTGCCTTCTTAGAAATCTAAAATTTATAACTGAAACAAACTCCAGTGTCCTTTCTTCCATGCATATGCTAAACTTATCTCCTCCTTCTCTCCCGGGTTATAAACAATTTATATATTGCAGAAATGTTTTATACTCATGTATTGTTAAAATTTGAAATCTGTGCATTACATGGATTAGTGCATTGTTTTAAAGTTTTCTTGTTTTCAATAAGTCAGCTGTGAACATAGTTATTTGATAAGAAGCTTTATGGAATTTAAATTCTGTTTATACTGCAATAATTTCCTTTTTAATTCCATCATTATTTTGGTTAAGTTATATTTCATAATAATTGTAAACTTTCTATTTAGAGTTCTTTGTTTTATGCGAATGAAGTTTTAGATGTTATTATTTTTATTTTAGGAAATGAATTTAGGATAAGAATGAAGTGAAGATATTCCTTTTTTGCCCTTTATAAGGCATTAGTAGTTTTTATTACACTATATAAAAACTTATTAAAAGTACAGCTCAGTTTGTACGAGATTGACGTTATATTTACAGGATATTTTAAAACTCATGGGCTAAAATTTAAGGGATGATAAAGATGCACATTAGAAATGTCTTCACAAGTAAAGGTGCATTCATCCGTGACTAAAACATGTGCACTGAAATCAGGCTGCACTGCTGGCTGTTGCAAAAACCAATGTGGAAACTCGACATGAGGTGCATAATCTGTAGGTATTAAAGCTTGCACTTTCTGTACATGGTAGGGATGTAATCCTTCATCTCGTAACTACTCGTGCAACAATTGAGTGGGGCACATTTACGGCACGGGAAACCTCTCATGTGCCGGACAATCTTCAACTCTTTGCAGAATGTCCTCTACAACCTGTGGCATCTACACATTCCTGTCACACCCTTATCATGCATGCTGGGGGCAAAGGATCCTGCTTCACGCTGGCACTGCTGTAACTGCTTGAACGTTTTTTGGTCTGACACATGTCTTCTTAGGAAACTTCGCCTGTAGTCTTTCAGCCTCCAGAGTATTCTCATTCGCAAGACCAGACATAAAATATGTGTCCCCTTTTTTCTGATTACTGTATATCAACATACCTTCGGAAATCCATGCTAGAAAGGGCAATGTGTAAGAAAACTCTTGCTTTATGCTTTTCATTACAGCAGCCAGCATCTAGCGGTCACCGCTTGCTCTCCACCCATTCATTGTATGGTGAACATTGCTTGTTTATATATTTTCTATCACCCCTTAAATTTTTGCTCATGAGTTTCAGAACATCCTGTGTACATGTTATCAATTTAGATAATGTCCTGTTTAAAAAATATAACTATAAATCATGAGTCCTCATTATAAGTTGTAGATTTAATTTATTCAAAGTAACCATCTGTATGTGAAACATAGTTCATATTCAAAATTATCTGCATTAATAATGGAGATTTTCCCCATATTTCTATTTTTTTATTATATCCTAGTGTTGTAGAAATATTAAACAAACATGCCTATTATTAAACACTCTACAGAATTGTGTAATGTTTTCTTGCAGGTTAAAATCCTCGTTCCTAATAGTACAGCAGGGATGATTATAGGTAAAGGTGGCAGTTATATCAAACAAATTAAAGAAGAAAGTGGTGCTTATGTACAAATATCTCAGAAGTCCAAGGACCATGCCTTAGCTGAACGTTGTATAACTGTGATTGGTGAGATGGAGAACAATAAAACTGCTTGTCATATGATTCTAGCAAAAATTGTTGAAGATCCACAGAGTGGTAGTTGTCTTAATGTAAGTTATGCTGATGTAACTGGTCCAGTAGCCAATTTCAATCCTACTGGCTCACCTTTTGCCAATCCTGGTAGTGTTCCTAGTGGTGCTATGAATAACAGCAACACCAGTTACAGTTCTAATGGCAGCTTAAATAGCCTCAGTCCTACTGTAACCAACAGTTTCCATAGTCCTCAAACTGGTGCCACCCACACAGGAATTGTGCCATTTCCTGGTATGGGAATGGGTGGCCCTGCAATCCCTCCTACCAATGCTGCTCAGGTAATTGAAACGATCAAGACAATGCTTAGAGGAAATGGTTTTTCCGAACAAGCAGTGTCTGAGATTAGTGCAGCATTGAATGTATTAGCTAGTTATGGTATTCTAGGAATTGGACTTGGTATATTAAATGGAGTTAATGGCGCTCCGGTTGTGGGTGGTCTTGGAATGGGAATGCCAAATTCTGCAGCAACTAGTTGTCCAATGCCACCAGGAGGAATGACAAATCAGGCTATGTATACATCTCCAACAGGTGTACCAGGAATGGAAGCTGCTTGCAATTCTGTAGTTACATCCGGTCCAATGGGAGCTGGCTCTAGTATGTTTGGCCCTATTGGAAGCCTTGGAAATGGCATGTCAGGATTAGGCCTTGGACCTGGCTTTACTTCACCTACTACATCTCGTTCAAGTGACCGTTTTCTTGTACAAGCAGATGCAGCCGTATTTGAACCGTTCCGTAGAACCTCTCCTGCCCTTGCTTCACCAAGTGCAGCTGCCTTACCTGTGAATAATAATTCTTTTGGACTCGGAACTGGTTTAAATTCTGGACCTCCTAGTTTGAGGAAAAGTCCTACTCCTAGTGATAGGCAAATTGGTGATGCTACAAAAATAGAAATTGAAGTTGGCGAAAACATAGTTGGAGCAATATTGGGACCAGGTGGAAAAGCACTTGTAGAAATTCAACGATTTAGTGGAGCTAACATTCAGATCTCTAAAAAAGGAATATTTGCTCCTGGAACACGTAATCGCATAGTCACTATCACTGGTCTCACTAATGCTGTTAACACTGCTCAGTACCTCATTGAGCGTCAAATAGCAGAGGAAGAAGCAAAGCGAGCTCAACAAAATGCCATGGGAGTTCTACGTTAACAAGAACTTTACCTAGTGTTATGTTATCGCCTTCCTCATCATATTTCTTTATCTATGGTTTTATTCCCTCTTCTGTAAACCTGCATGCACCTATGGTGCAAAGCTGTGTGGTGATTAGAACCCAAGCACCTTGCTACAGCTCTGAGTGAATAAATTGCCTATTAACCTTATCATACTGTAATATATATACATGAAAGTTTGTATCATCTAGGAAATAATGGGTAATAATTATAGCTGTATTTGCACTTTTTGTTGCATAACAGCACATGGTGTGTGCATACAAATGGATTCAATGGTCTGATCAGAAGTGTATTTTCACGAACTGGTTGTTATTGTTACCCAAGCTGCACTGACTATACAAATGTGGCCATTCAGGCTCCTCATAAGGAAAGAAAATAAAAGTGGATTAAATTTTATAACAAATTGATAGATTTTTGTAACTTCAGTTTATGTTTTTGTTCATGAACATTTGCAAAGTAAAGTGCTTTGATAAATTTATTCTTTTGTGTTGATGTTTGGCTAAGTCATTTAGTTTTGCTATGCTTGGATGTTTAACTGGTAGCCAGAGTTACTTTATGATTGGGAGTATTCTTATTTTGCTTCCATATATATTATATATATATATATATATATATATATATACAACACATTTACAATACATATACATATATATTTTCAATTATAGGATAAATATACTAGCAATTACGCTGAAAAATGATTTCTAATAAGGTAAAAAAAAATCAAAGACCTTATTGGCTGTGATCAGTATTGCATTCATTTTGCAAAACCTTATGTTTATTTCTTATTTTGTCTTTATGGTTGTTTTCAACTTTTCTAATGCATTCATTTATTATTTAGATCCAAAACTTTGTGCAAATTTAAAATGTAAATTGGTTGGCTGTGATCAGTATTGTAATCTATTTTATTGCGTGTTATAATCTTCAAACATATAACATAAATTTCTCTCTTATTTACCGTTTACATTTTGTTAATATTCAAATAACACATTTATTCATCTCATAGAATATTTAAATACGAACTCAAATCATAAAATAACTGGCTGTGATCAGTATTGTGATTTCAAGGATTTTTCATGAAATTGTTTTAATTCTTAAGTTATTGTTTACATCATAAAAATATCATTGTTCCTCTGTGCTTCAGTTTTGTTACAAGTTGTGTTATATATATATAAAGTTATTAAATCAAATATTAAAAAAATTGTGGTGTGAAAAATTACTTGAGCTATAACTACATGTTTAATAGCCTTAAAAATGAGCATGTTCAGGTTAGCACTTGGAATTCAGTTTTTAAAAGATTCTAAATGAATTTTTTATATATACAAGATAGCAAATATTTTTTTCTTTTGTTGTTTAAATGAATGCAGGTGTGTTTTTAATGTTTTCGTGCTTCCATTAGTGTAATTTTTATTTGACAGTTCCTGAAATGGAAGTTATATGAAATGTATAAAGAATGATCATATGTGAGATATATTTTTTGTGAGATTATATTCAAAGCTTTGTTGTATTTCTGAAAATTGTAAATATTCTGCAAATTAGATTAAAAAAAATTTCAGATTCTGTTGTTCAGTTGTGTAGCCTCTAAAGAATTTATTTAATTATTTTAATATATTATGTTGAATTTATACTTGTATAGTTTTCATTCGATCAAGTACCCAATGTAGCAGTAATTTTTAAATTTGTATATTTTATTTTTCATTATATGTAATAAAATGTAGTATATGAAAAATATATGAAATTTACTATTTGATATGAAGTAAGACAAAGATCATGTAGCAATAATTGGAATAATCTATGCAAGTACTTAACATTTACAATATTGTTTCAGTCACCAATGACCTCTGTTTGAATCTTTTACCATAAGAGCTTTATTAATTGATAGAAATATTATGCTATTTGCTAAAAAATTGAACTTTAATGAGGAACATTTCTTGTTCCAATTTACCTGATAGCAATTACAAGTTTTTAATGTTTTATTAGGTAACTTTGCTTATATTAAAACTCAAAATACATGTATATAAATATATATGTATGCAATACTTAATAACCATTAATTCTAACTTTAACAATTGTTGAAATAATTTAATGAGCTGTTATGTTTTCCCTTTGAAACTGCATACTAAACAAAAAGTGCAGATTTTCCTTCAGGTTAGTATATATATATATATATCATTCAATACTTTTGCTGCTGATCAGCATCGAAATGTTTAAAAGAATGCCTTCATTGTTTTTATATCTGAATATTACAGCACATCTTATCATTCATAAGAACCATCAGTGAAACTTTATAAAGCCTTTCAGTGAAAACCCATTTGTATGGGAAATCTGATGTTGAATGTGATTTCTTTTTAAGATTTTCATATGGACATTTTGTCAAATACCTTCCTCCTTTCTATGTATGCCACCACCATCTGTCTGTGTGAGGATTCATTTTGTAAGGCATGAGTCAAGTTACATTTCAGTTTGTAAGCTTAGGGTTATTGTACTTAAATTTTTATTTTCAAATTTTTCTTCTAAATATGTTTCAGTCATAGAAGTGAGGTGAATGAAATTCTATAAACATTATATACATAAAACCTATACTTAAATGTTCTCCTTATATAGGTAAAGAACAGTTAACTATGCAATATTTGAAAGTATAGTTAGGTGCTTTAAAATGAACATAACTGTGCTTTTCTTTTTCTGCATTATTCTGTGCTTTTGTACAAATCACCTGTGAGTCAGAAATTCTCAGCATAGTCATTGTTCATCATAAACACCAATTTATTCTTTCTGGTTTGGTAGCCAGAGCTGACTAGTCTTCTATATATTTGTGTGTGCATATGTATGTATGAGAATGTGGGTGGGTGCTGAAGATGGTGGTGGATCTATCTTCAAATGCTCATTATTCATAAAGTTTGCACTTAATTTGCAAATTATGCAGTGATTTATCAATTAACAATATTTGAAAAGACTGAAATTTTGTTTGTAATTTTATAAAACTTTTCTTTTTTGAAGAATAATAATGATATGACTTTGTCAAATCATACTCAATATGTTAATTGTATTTCAACTGAATACATTATTTTATAGTCATGTGTTCTTTGAGTGCAAGCAAGTTGTTGTTGGCTTGTCTCATAAGTTAAGGTTTTCGCTATATATCTATATATTTTTATTTTTCATTGAGTTTGGCTATAATTGAAGTGATTTTGGAATGGAAATTACACAGCTTTTACTGCTGCTAAATGAAATAAAGATGTAATGCCCTGCTTTGATGTCTCTCATTTTGTAACAAATATAAAATATAACTTTTCTTCATTCTGATTGCAATAAGACCACTAACTATATAATAAGTCTTTTGACATATTCTTTAAGTTTTCTATTATTTGTCACACATTTCATACTTGTTTGGATTTCGTTGAGAATGTTCAAAGTGCAAACTGCACTCTAGGTCTGTTGTTTATGGGGAAGCTTTGTATTTTCCACATGTATTTACAGTGGTTATAATAAAGAGAGAAAACTTTACTTTTTTAAATGTTCCTTCACTGAATATGTACATCTATAAATGTTTAAAATACCCAGATGCCAGTAAATTGCTTGTTCAAGATTTAACTTTAGCTTATTAACCTGTTTCTAAGAAACAAACATGATATTGGTGCTTGAATTTCCCTCCCTTAATTATTAGCATTCAATAAAATAAATTCGATTAGATTCCTTATTTAAAATGCTAAATATTTATGTTAAAAGAATGCAGCTCCTTGAAAATGTTATGTCAAAAGAAAGAAACTGGTTTAAACAGTCTTTTATTATACTGTACATGAACAAAATATTCACAAGGGATTTACAACAGTTATGAGACAAGGAACTATAAGATTTTCACATAAAAATGTCAATTTATTCATAGATTAAAAGCTTGATATGTAGATTTAAGAAGAAACTGAAATGAGATCTTTTAATAATCATTTAAAACTTTTTCTTCAATGGTATAGTATTTCTAAAATGCACTTCAAATCAAATAGTGCCTGAATTATATTTAAAATGCTGATCAGAAAAATTCAGCTTAATTCATATTTAATTATTTTGATTTTTACAAATGATATCTATTTCATTATATGATAATCCTCTGAAATTAATTTGTTCAAAGCAACAAATAAATAAATAATCACATTAAAATATATTTTAGTCATAATGTGAAAAAAAGTTTGCCTTTATTCACCGAGACAGTTTTATACATAGAAATATTGATGTTATAGAAGAATAAATCTTAAATTTATTTTTAATGCTTTAAGCACGTAGTTGTTATTGCAACATTTCATTACTAACTGCAAATGGCTTATTCCAGATAGTATATATTTTTTGTATAATTTTTTACGTAAGGTAATCTAGAGAAGTATTAAAATTTAATGACAAAAAGGATTTATTATTGTAGTTAATTTTTTCTGCAGGTCTCAAAATCCTGCTATAAATTAGCCATTGCTATCACCTGTGAATTTACTGTCCCATTTATGAACTTTAAATATGTGATGCCATGAAGAGAGACTTTTAGTTACGATTGTATGGAATGTAAGCAGATATAGTTTGCCATCTTTAAAGAAACCAATCCTACACAAGCATGTTTCATGTAAATTCTTCAAAATGTAGATTGAAAAGCTGTTTCTTGTGAAAGCAGGATAAGTCAGTAATAAATTCACTTTGCAACATGCCAAAATGTACAAATTTTATCTTCCAGTTTCTTTTACTTGAATTCCCAAGTTCTCTCATATTGATTTTGCTTTAAACTGTGAACAATAATTTTGAGTATATATAAATTTTTCTCAGAATACCATATAAATGCTTTATCTTTCTTTCGTTACCATTAACCCTCTGACTGCTCAATTTGTGGAGCGAAACCACTTCGCGTGTTTTTTTTTTTTTTTTTTTTTTTTTTTTTTTTTTTTCATATTTTGAATCTATATATATATTGAAGAATTGAAAAATGCATTTGTACTTTCTAAAAAATATTTTGAACATAGATTCTTATCATGAGAAACTAAGTTGCCAGAAAAACTAATTTTAAATGTTATCACCAAAAAAAAATATTTTTTTTAAAATAAGTTTCATTCTAATTACAGTTAATTTCCAATTGCATAATATAAAAATGTAAAATGTATAAAATTTAAGAAAATATAAAGCGCTGAGGGAAAAATACCTTAGAAATGCAGTTTAGTCTGATAGAGTTCAAAACAGGGTTCAAGGTAAAGTCCAACTTCACAGTTTTGCACCAGATTCAATCAATCTAATTCAATAATTTAATTAAATAATCAAGATAACTGCTGAACGTTTTCTAGCAGCCATTTCTGTAAGAAAAGAGCGGCAAAAAGTGAAGTTTGAGCGCTAATACCACGTGCCTTCAAATGCCGCAATTTAGTGGACAACTAACGATATCTGTTAACCAAAACGTAAACTAAACGCCTAATGCTGTATATAATTTATTTCAATGCTTAAACGGGGAAAAAACGGGATGCGCTCCTCAATAAAAAGGAAAAAAAAAAAAAACATGCCCGCGGGATAAGCAAATTTTGCCACATTTGAGTTTTGCCTGTGGAAATAGTGGGATGATCAGCCAGAGGGTTAATAAAATCTTGAAAGATTTTGCTTGACTAATTTGCCTTTTTAAAGTAAAATTCATCAATTTTATGATAGTTGAGGGAGAAATTTTTTTACATTTTTCACTTTCTATGCTTTAGTTGGATAAATTTCCTTTAATGTATGTTATTAAGGAGAGGAAATAAAACATTATTAATTTTATTTTTGTCTTATACTCTTTCATATTTTAGTTCTCAGTTAATGCATAACAGTTCTACTTCCTTACTGTGTTCTGTTCCAGTTGTAATAAATTTTAGATAAATAATTGCAAACTACCTGATTTGCTCACACCCAAAAAATTGCAGCTGAAAAGCATAACTGTTTGTTAAAATTGTCTGTATATAATATAGCTACAGCCACAGAAAAGTGTTCTGAATGATATTTGCAATTTTAAATAATAAGGAAAATATTGTTTACATGTATTTTTATTTTTGGCTGTTTAAGCTATTTTAGAAACATGAGACATTGTTAAGCCATCAAGTTCAGAAGAAAAAGGCTTAAAAAATTATCTTCCAGGGATAGATAGTGTTACTAATAGTATAGCTTATCTTATTTTTCTGTTTGTTTACATTAATGATATGGAGGAATATTGCAATCATGTAAGAAGGAAGTTTATGCTTTGATAGTAAATCTAAAAAAGAGAAGTAATAATGAATTGCCGTGTAACCTTATAAAATTTCATTTCCTTGTGCTTATTTTGATAAAATAGCTGAGTGGCTCTCAATGAAGGTGTACCCCTACATAAGCTGTTGTCATCTGCATGTTTTTCATAATCCAGTTGAGTGCAATCCTTTCATTTAGCCAGTGAGGTAAAAATTTCATTCTAGATGTAGGGTGTTTTGAAATGTTTGATACACATTGTTTTTTATGCAACATTTATGTATATAATTTTAATTATATTATTAATAACTGGCATTGTTTGAAAGGGAAAGTTTTGTTCATATTAAAGTTTCTGAATATTATTATTTTTTTATGATGCAGATAACATCTAGTCTAATCCAACTCCATTTTTTTTCTTAATTTTTCCAACGTTTCCTATGAAACTTTGTATTGATGTTCCTTCAGATTGAAAGCGTACTGAACTGTAGTTTATTACATTTCACATGCTGAATAAAATACTTTTGTATAATATTTTCAAAGATTCTGAACTGCAAAGTTTTTATTTATTTACTTAATCTCTCAAATTGCATCATTAATTCCTGTTTCTTTAATTTGCTGCCAGATAATGTTCTGCATTTCTTTATTTGTAGTGAAATTAGTTAAAGATTTAGCTGTAATATTGCAGTTCGCTAAAATTAATTGCATAAAATATATAAAAATAATTTAGGGTATCTGAATCTAGCATAATATGAAAAGCTGTTTTTTGTTTTTAAGTCAATCTGTGATTTAAGAATGGACTTAGAATAGAAACTGAAGAAAGTAAGCTGTAGAGAATTGAGCTCGTGAAACATTTCATTTTTACACTGAAGTAGCAAGATTTGCTGTTTCATAATAAGCACTTTAAATTAAAAGTTGAAGTTGTGAAAGGTAATCCGATTGCTGTACTGATTTTTTCATACCTAAATGCTGGTGTGTGAATTATCATTTTCCCAACCAAAATCATTATTTCTTTTCCTTTTCTATTTGTATTCTGGTAATGATTACCTAAATGCTGATGTGTGAATTATCATTTTCCCAGCCAAAATTATTATTTCTTTTCCTTTTCTATTTGTATTCTGGTAATGATTATATAATGGTTAATGGGTGAGCGGGAGGTTCTCAGAACATCACCAAAAACTTCTTAACGTATGCTGTAGGATCCTGATGTGGTGATGTTGGGTATTAGTGAGATTTTCAGTCTCGTAAGCCTTATAATTAGGATACTGAGAAGCTTTGTAAGAGATTTATCATATATATAGCATATAGAAATGTTTCTCTGAAGGGTGAATTTCTCTTGTCTGACCACATTCCAAAATAGGATTTGCTGTCAAAACATACAGTAATCTGGAAATATCCTATCCATTCTTCATAAAATTCAGTTGTGTGTACTGCCTAACAAACAGTCATGTTGGATGAATGGTTAGAATTTGCAAGCTAATTAGATGGACACTAACATTGGTTGAAACAGCTGACAAACATTTAAGAATTACATAATACAAAATAGCATATAACAATTGGTTAACCACTTTTTGTCTTGTTGCTGCATTATGAGTTTGACTCAAATATAGAAAATGACATTTTGAAAAAGTGTAAGCATTGTCTGTCTGTCAACAGGCAAATACCACATTTATACACTTGCGAAATTAAGCATTCAATAACCTCACAAACCGAGATTTGTAACATATTTTATTCTCTTTGCTTTCTTTGGATTAATCAGTACCATGCCACATTAATGCAGTATCACACCTAATACTTGAATATGAGTGTTTGTGTGTGTGAAGCCTATAAATGTGACAGAATTTGGATCCACATTTTAAAAATGGCATTTTTTTTCACATATATCTGACTTTTAATGAGCAATTTTATGTGGCTCATTTATAAGTACATAGGAATTTGGGATTATTTTCTGTTGTATAATAACCTTGTGCTTTTCTTTAAATGTTTACTGAAAAGAAAAAAAATTGCTGCATTTTTATAAGAAGGTACTTGATACCTTTATATTTTTTACTATGTGTTGCTGATTAGAGTTGGATAAAATGTTTGCTGAATACTTATTTGTAATTTTAAAAGAATTTATGGTAAAAGTTTACAATTGGGTGTCCCTTGTTTTTTTTTTCGCGATTCCTTTTCGATGCCAAGATCACAGCACCAACAAGGCACTCTTTCAAAACGGCCGCTACACAAAACCAAAATAAGTCAAAGAATTGCACAAACTCGGTGTCCTTGTACGCATACAATATATTTTCACTTAATAAAAGAATTGCACAAACTCGGCACACTGCCTTGACTTTATCCCTGTACACATTGATCTATTTTCACTTAAAAATCGAAGGGGTACCCAATTCTACAATAGAGCCAAATTTATGTATGAAATTTTTAAATTCTGAATGTTGAATTTTGTATATTTAAAAGTAAACACAACTACATTCAAATTATCATGCCATGATATGTTAAGACAAAAATGTACGAAATATCACTTTAAAAAAAAAAGGTAATTCATGGATAATTAAAACTGGAATCTTTTTATACTAGCAATTTAAAAACTGCATTGGTTTGAAAGAGCTCTTCCAGTCAAACAGACCTTTTTGCACTTAAACAGTGACACATGGCTATATATAATGTCTTCATATAAATTCTAAATTCCTAATATTTATAATAACAAATCATAACATATTTCACATTGTAAAAGCTACATTTTAAATTATACATACAAACCACTGAAAACAATTATCACCAAATAACTTTTAGACAATGTTAAGAAAACTTGTATAAATTATTTATAAAAAGGTAATGAAAAAGTTTTAGTTCAAATTGCAGTATTAAAAAAGATCACAGACAATGACAAGTTTCATATAAAATTTACAAAAAATTCATCTCCCCCACCCTTGTAAAATGACAAAAGAAGTTGCAAAACTGAGTTATACGTACAAAGAAATTTCATTAGAAATATGCTTATGATTTATGGTATATAAAAATGAATTAATACAAATTGATAAACATGAGTTTTTTTACAAAATAATGGGATTTAAAGACTGATGAGACTTCATTATTATATAGAATAATTTTTCATTCTTAGATTGTAAATTTAATTTTTAATTCCCAGTCTAATTCAAATTTTTTCCTCTGGTATATAGTGGAAGCATAAAAATGTCCAATTCTGCACATAAAATAAAAAATAAGACTTCAGTATATTTACAATGAACTTTTCAAGGTTTTGTTTGAAGAAGTGAGGACAAAAATTATTTTCACCCCTTTAAATCAGAGGAATCATTTTAACGAATAATTATATTATAAATTGCACAAAAATCACTCAAAACAAATTTGTGAAATATTTCATATCATTTTTATACAAATATGATCTAATTTCTGGATACATAAGGAATAAGCTGCTATTTATACGGGGACATTATGAAGCAGTCACTTCATAATATTCAGTTAACTTTTGTTCTGTGAAAGTTAGAAGTTAGTGTGTGTGAAGTTTCCGGTAATAACGTAGCATTAATCTCGAAATAGTTAAATTTCATCATGAAAGCTGGGAAAAATAGAACTTTGCAATTCTACACACTGGTAAATAATTATTATTTGGTCTCAGTTATTCTCTAACGCACAAGTATATCAACCGCAAATTTTGATGAGTAAAATAGCTGCTTCATTATGTATGTAAAATAAGGTAAAATGAATCAAATTCTGTTTAAAAAAGGAAGCTCCAACAAATTGTTATCCTGCACATTTTTTTTAATCTCCTGCAGAATAAAAATATTTTGAAACGCACTGTGATTATGAATATGTATTTAAAACCCTATTTAGCGTTGATTTGGATTTATTTCTTTAGTTTGGTCTCGTTTAGGCTAAGATAATGATAAAACTTCAGCATGGATAATAATGCAGATGTACAAAATTTAGATATTTAATAATTATATAAATTTTGCACATATAATAATGAAATGACTAGATAGCAGATGAACATAAACACTTATAGCACCTATTAACGTGAAATGTTTTAAAATGCGGCTTATATTTCATTGAAATCGTTTCATGAAATATTTTACACCACAATTAGATTATTCAAATGAAGAAAAAAAAAAAAAAAAAAAAAAAAAGATTAATAATTATCTATGACGTCAGAAAAACTTTACAATTTTATTTATCATTATTTTTTGTATTAGACTTTCCTTTCCCCCCCAAAAAAATGTATCTTACTAAACCTTTAATTTTTGAGTAATTACACGATCTCTGCTGGATTCCCTTGGCACGCTTCTCCATTGCATATCTCCATTGGAGCCACTTGATTGATGAAGAAATAATGTCTGACTGCCCCTTCTTCTGTTTCGTCGACTTTTTGTAAAGTCTTCTCCGAAAACATCACCAGTTCTTAAAGCTGATATAAGATCATCAAATTCTCCTTTTTCAGAACCTGCTTTAATTGCTCTTAAGCCATTTATACTTCCGTTCTTAACAGTTGAACCTTTATGTGCACTCTCCTTGCTTGATCTCCTTTCAACATTTGTTTTTCTCTGAAGTAAGAAAAAAAGGTATATTACTTTGCATGAATTAAATATTAAATCAATTTCGAAGTAATCCATTTGTCCATTATAATACACTACTGGCCATTAAAATTGTAACACCATGAAGGAAAGCAAATGAAAAAATATATTTATTGCACATAAGCAGTATGGCATGATGACAAAAGGATTAAATTTGTAAGCAGTTTGGAGATTTACAGGGGTGCGAAATTAGTAGAAACAGCTGCCAACCCTGGCAGCTAAAACGGCCCTTACCCCATTAGGCATGGAGTCAAACTAGGCTTGGATGACAGAAAGTCTATGCCACACGTCATCAACCGTGTTAGCTGGAGAGGGGTGGCAGGCCAGTCTCTCAGCAACCCATGACCAGATGTTTTCAATGGATGACTGATCTGGAGACCGTGCAGGCCAGGCCAGCAATCGAATACCCTGTGTGTCGAGGGAGGTCAGAACACGACGTGCAACGTGTGGTCTTGCATTATCTTGTTGGAAAATGGCTTTTGGGGGCTTCGAAGATAGGGCACAACAACTGAACATAAGATGTCAGAAATGTACCCATCTGCGTTCAAATTACCGTCGATCCGAACTAGAGATGTGCGTGTCGTGTATCCAGTGGCTGCCCAAGCCATCACACCAGATGCAGGGCCCCTATGCCGATATCGAATGCAAGCAGGCGACGTGGGATCTCCTCGGACAATTCAGACACGTATACGGCCGTCACAATACTGCACGTAGAACAGGGACTCGTCTGAAAAGGCGACATTGTGCCACTCCTGTACGCAGCTTTGTCGTGTCGCACCATAGTCGCCGTCTGTCTCTATACTGCATTCTCAAGGCAAGCCGAAGTAATAGTCACCGTGCTGATAATCCACGCTGCTGCAAACGTCGACGAACCTTGCGAGCTGATACTGGGCGTACTGCAAACATGCCCATTTCCTGACTGTGATGTGGTCGTGTCTGTCGTCTCTGGCGTTAGTCATGGGAGGGCATTGAGATCCTGCATGCCGTTCAGTATGATCCTCAGCAATCCATTGATTCCATATTCGCATGACAGTGTTGGATGTCGATCAGTGCAACGGGCGATATTACGAAACGATAATCTGCACTCTCGATAGGCAACGATCCTGCCTCTATCGAATTCCGAAACTTACTAGTAAGCATTTCCTCTTCCTATTCGAGGTATAACATGATATTCTGAGCAAACTCAACCTTATAAAGCACTTTCCGAATGAGAAATCCACTTCCACTACACAACTTTTCTTCTATGCAGTACTTTAGATGTCATTTCTCCCTCCTGCGTCGTCTAAATACGCTGAAATACTAATCATTTGTATATCCCAACTTCTTCCTTTCATGTGATTGTGACGTTCGTGAGATCATTCCTTCCTGGTGTTGCGATTTGAAGAAAAGTGTAGAAATTATATTATATTAATACTATACTTCCTTAGTAGTTCTAAGAAAATCAGAGGCACCTATTTTCTGGCTAGTTTTGTTTGTTCAGTTATGGCAAAGCTTGCGAGGATTTTTTGTCTAAGGGGAGGAATGCCTATCTGGGAGACCAGCTTTTATCTACTTTGCAGATGGGAAAAAACTATGAAAACGTCCATTCGAAGTCGAACCACCAGTGTTTGACGACTTCATCAGTCGGCCGTTGGTAGGGTGATTTATAGCAGCGGTTTCAAACTACATATGGGTCAAATGCGCGATCTGAAAGCAGATAACGTTCTAGAATTTATTTTTTTCAACAAAATGAGAGTTAGTTTATATATATAGATAGATAGATATGTGTGTGTATTTTGTGCTTCATTATGCACCTAATATATAGATGTCACCCCTTTGTAACCTCATGTGCATGGTATGTTGTATATAAGTTTAAATTTTTGAAATTTGTATTTTTAATGTTTTATTTGTCTCGAATATGAGAACTGGAAATTTATTTCAGTAAAATTCAGTAGTGTTTTCTGCAATGTTTCTCTTTATGCTTACTTTTATTTCTTAAATTTATGATTTTTTTCCTTCTCTTCCTGATTAAAATTATGAGATTCTTTCTCTGCTGGGGGCTTATCCCTTACTTATTATTATTATTTATTACTTTTTGATGCATATAATAATAGTAATGCAAAAGAAAAAGTTCAAATTTATATGCACTTTCTATCTGAAATCTAAGTCTTGTTTACCTGCAAGAAATTTTTCTTGGTTGCACTTTGCAGTTCAAAGCTAAATCTTGAATTGTGAAGCTCATCGATGATTTTATTTATTTAATTTTGTGTCATGAAAATTTTGATTTATTTATTAAATTAGAATCTGTTTTAATACAGCTCCTCGACATAACTACCTAACCTAGTTATATTAAAACATTTTCCTATACTCCCTTTCGACTTAATCATGCAATGCAACAAACTTGATGATTCAGAACTTGTCTTAGGATAAAGATTATTGTTTCAATAACCTGATGCATCTGCTAACTTTTGGCGCCGTACTTACAGCAAATACTCAAGTACACTCATGTCCATAAATTAAGGATAATTCGGATTCATGCGGAAATCGAACTCTAAAATAAATATATCACCTATAAAATCACTACACACATCTTCAAGAATCATATGCAAATTTCAGGAAGTAACCAGATGACACCGATGGTACTTCACAATGACGAGAGTGTAAGAGAGTGATGTATAAGGAACACAGGCAAAGAAGTAAAAGTGTTCGCAGGCGCTTTATAAGCATTTCAGTGCAATAACCGAATAGTTATGACACAAAGGACGCATTTGGATGATTTTTTTACGTGGTAGAATTATCGCCCGTCTGGAATGGGCGTACTCAACTGGAAGTATCAGACGAACTTGGAATTGACCAGAGTGTCATCTCCAGGCTTTGGCAACGCTTCCAAGATGATGGTAATCTGAGTAGACGTTACACCACAGGTCGCCCCAGAGTTACAACGCCGAATGAGGACCGGTATTTGGCAGTTACTGCCAAAAGAAATAGGCGGAGCACAGCCTCAGACCTGTCTCCTCAGCTCTCTTCAGCCACTGGTACGACAATTTCAAGGCAGACCGTGTACAGACGCTTAGGGCAGATTGGTGTATATGCTCGTAGACCTGTCAGATGCGTTCCACTTTCTGCAACTCACTGTCGCCTGCGGTTAGCCTGGAGTAGAGAGCATGCATTGTGGACACCACAACAGTGGGCTTGTGTGATGTTTTCCGACGAGTCCAGGTTTAGCTTGCAGTCTGATTCTCCATGGACTTTCAAATGGAGAGCTCCAGGTACCCGTTACCACCAAGAAAATATCATTGAACGACACCGTTACGGTGGTGCAGGAGTGCTCGTTTGGGGTGGAATTATTCTGGGTTCCAGAACTGACCTGCATGTTCAAATTGGAACCATGACAAGCCAAATCTATCGGAACGTCATTCAGGAAAAACATGTACGTTTGTTTCGGGGCGCCATGGGCGCACAATTTGTGTTTATGGATGACAACGCCCGTCCTCACCGTGCAAACATCGTAAGCGAATGCGTTCAATCGGAGGATATCACCCGTATGGACTGGCCAGCATTCTCACCAGACTTGAATCCAGTAGAGCACGTGTAGGACATGCTTGCCCGACGAATTGCAGCCCGTCAACCTCATCCTACATGTCTACCGGAACTTCGGAGAGCATTGTTTTTTGAGTGGTGTAATATCCCCCAAGATAAGATCGATAATTTGATACTCAGCATGCCTAGGCGTTGTACGGACTGTATTGCATCGTCTGGGAGACATACAATGTATTAACAATCATACCAACCATGTAATATTGGTTTTTTGTAAATAGGGTTTTTTTTTTTTTTTTTTTTTGTAATTTGCTCCAGGGAGAAAAAATCGCTAATTTTTTAATAATATCAAACATGTAGCATCTTTTTTTTCTCTTTAATTTTTGTTTAATAAATAATCTTTACAAATAAGTCAAATTTGTTTTGTTTCTAACTCTTCCTTTGCCTGATTTTGCATTATCCTTAATTTATGGACATGAGTGTAAAATGTATTCGGGAGCCTCCAGTTTGAGACAACTGATCGGCTCGCGGTAACTTAAGCAATCGACATGACTTCTTAGCAATACGCACGGCAGCCTTACCTCTGTGGAATAAGGGTGCCTTTTCATATGATCATATTTTACGGTGTTGATATACAAAAGTTGTTTCTAAAACAAATGAACGCAGTTTGTAATAATGTCAAAGTATTAAAAATTATTTGACATAATGTAAGAACTTCCAAAGGAGAATGCAGTTCTCAACACTTCTGTAACAGTAATCGTGAATAATAGTACAGCAGAATCACAATTATTCGAACTAGTGGACACGGAGCACTTTGAACAAGGCGCTATCAAATGGCTCATTTTTGCATGTATCACTTTCGACAGTCAAGTTAACTTTGAACACATTTTTCACGAAGTAAACTTTTAAATTTTTCTTTGAAACATTTTATTATAAGTTAGATTGCATAAAAGAAATAATAAAACATCTGTAAAGAAAGAAAAAAATTCTTAAAATTTTTTTTTGTTAGCTATTAAACAAATTTCCCATAGAAGAAATTGGAAAATTACCTAACGAAAATTAATGGCAATGCAGTTTAATTACAGGAATATTTATAAAAATTAAGTTTCCACTTTCAGAAACTCTTTCTCAGAACTTTGTTCATGTAACTATACTTCTTTGGAACAGTATTTCTTTACAGAATGGTAAAAATAACTTCGGATATACTGGTTTTATGGTTGCTTATACTGCAAATTATTTGTATAGTTGACTGAAATTTTTTATGATTTTGCGTTTGGTATTTATTTACTTTAAATGAACTTTTTTATATAAAATAAATTTCAATGGACATAAATCATTAATATACATTAGCTACTTAGAAGTCAACTCCCGAACAGATGTCAATAATCCATTATTTCTGCACACCCTATGCTAACGTTACTCCTTAAAACATGTATTTACATCTAAAAAATGAG